AGTCTGCTAACATTGTGCTTATTTTTAAAAACTGTATTACAGGGTGTGTGTGCTTGCTGGAAACAGAGAGAGAAGAGAGAAGTGAGAAAGCCCCACCCCACCCCCAGACATGGCCATGCCATCCCTTCTCCATCATCCTCTTGGGAACTGGGGCACACACATGTGCCTGGCGTGTTTCTCAAGACACTGGGCCAGGACTCGAACTGCTTCATCGGCCACGTGCCATCCCCCCACTCTAAGCACCGCCCACCAGGTGGCCCTCTTCTGCTACCTTCCAAGTCAATTTGAACCTTGGTTCCCGAGAGGGCCGGCCTGCGAACACACACGCATGTGTGAGCACATACACCCTCGCCTCCTTTGGGAACCAGAGCCCTCTGGCCTCAGGAGCTGAGCTGGGACGTGCGCCTCCTCTGCTCCCACAGCGAGTGGGTAGCCCTTCTCTCCTGGGTGTGAGAATTCCCTGGTGAGGCCATCTGGGATGGAGTCTGGGGGAAGGTCTGCGATTACAAACTTCTTTTTCAGCAGATACGAGATAATTCAGATAATCTCGGTCTTCTGGTAACAGCTCCGTTTCATCCAGGCCGTCGAATGAACTGCTTTAAAATCCACTTCCTTATTTTCTTTTCAATGTCTGCGGGTCCTTCGTTGGCGATGAGTCTGAAGGCCTGCAATTTCCGGGCCATTCCCCCAGCCCTCTCGGCTTTACTACAACCCTCTGCTGCTCTGTTTTCTACTTGGCCGGTTTATGATTCTGCTTTGACCTCCTCCTAGAGACTTGAGGTTTAATCTGGTTTTCTTCTTCCCAGCTTCCTCAGACTAGATCGTTATTTCCGGACCTCTGTCCTTTCCTAATACAAATTCCTAAACTGCCGACCTCTCCAAAGACAGCCTGCCCTCGGATGTATGCGTTCACCCTCACTCACTCCACAGCACACTCTAGCTTCTCCTGCGGCCCGCTGACCTGTGGGGGCTGGTTCCTGGGAGACTCCGGGTTTGTGTCCAGAGCCCTCCCTACCCTCCCTGAGCACCATGGTCACATGGGTGCAGGAGCTGGGCTGGCTGGGGCTGAGGGTAGGGACGGTGGCACTGAGACTGTTGAGAGTCTTAAAGAAAAAGCACGGTTACCGTGCCAGTACTCACAGGCCTTACAGACCCGTGAGCAGGTCCTGCTGCTGCTGCACGGTTACTGGGCAGGGCCTGCGCCCCACCTAGCTCTCCTGGGCCCGTCACGGCCAGGACTGACGTGCCCCAGCCGCGCCCCACACCTGAGTCGGCCGGCGCGGGCCGTGTCTCACTCTCAGCTGTCCTCCTGTGCATCGACTGCTGTAATTTTCTTTTCTTTTCTTTTTCTTCTTTTCTTGGAGAGGTTTTTCTTATTGGGCACATGCGCTCGCCAGAAAGTCAGAGAGAGACAGAGAAATAGAAAGCGAGAAATCACCCCCCAGGGGGGATGGCCACGCCGTAATTTCTTCTCCTCCATTCTCCTCTCGGGATCTTGGGCACGCATGCACACGTGCCCAGCATGAGTTTAAGCCACCAGGTCCGGGACTCAAACCGCAGTCTACTACAGGGGAGTCCAGCGACATAGCCATTACGTTAACTACTGGCCCCACAACTGCTGTCATTTTCAATCCAAGCGTTTTACAGCTTTATTCAATGCGAACATTTAAAAACTATATTCTCACAATAACTCTTTCATCATTATCAAATGCTGCTTTATCTCCAGTAACACTTTTTCCCCTGACTACTTTTCTAAAGGGTGAGTGTGCTTGCCAGAGGACAGAGACAGAGACACAAGGTGAGAAAGCCCCCGAGGGGAGCTCATGCAGAGTCTTCTTCGCCAGTCTCCTCTCAGGCTTTTGGGCAGTCACACACACATGCCCAGCCTGTTTTTCAGGCTGCCAGGTCAGGACTTGAGCCACACCGTTGGCCACCAGGATGCAGCTGCCCCAGCCACCATGCCACCTGCTGGCCCTCTGGTAACATGTCTTGCTGCCTACACAGTGTCACGGAGCAGAGCCGCGTCATGGCGTGGTGGGCTCTCCCATCTTTTACACTCTAGCTGCAGGATCTTTTGTAAGCAGCTCACTGTTAGGACTGTCTTTCGTTTTTACACCGTTACAGCTCTGGCCACGAGAGACGGAGAGACGGAGAGACGGAGGGAGGGAGGGAGCACCCCGTGACAGCACGTCACGCTGCACGCCCCTCCCTACTCCTTCGCCTCTCAGGGTTTTGGGTGCGTGAGTCGGAGCGCGGTTCTCAAGGCACTGAGGCTGGGTTCAAACTGTGCAGTTGGCCGTGGAGGGTCCAGGTCCAGCCCCTTCACCACTCAGCCGTGGGGGCCAGCCCCAGTCTCTGCCTCTTACAACAAGGCCCAGACGGCTGGCATTTGCTGCGCCCTCCCTGCAGTCAGGCCCACCTGCTATCACGTGTCTCCTTGCCTTTCTCCTGCTCGCTGCCCTCTGCTTTCTTCTGACCACAGTACGGCATTTTATACTCTACAGTTGTATTGGTTTTTAGCTACCTTTTTAGTGGATGTTCTAGAGAAATACAACATACATTCATTCATCAATTGCTGAAGCCTACTTGATTAAATAACGTTAATGTATGGGGTGGGCAGGTGGCGTACTGGTTAGAGCGCTGGCCTCCCACGTGGCTGACCAAAGTTTGAGTCCTGGACCTGGCTGCTTGCTTTCTCACTTTCCTCCTCACTCTGTCCCTCTCTAGTCAAATTAAAATAAATAGGGTTAAATAAAATAATTCTTAAAAAAAGTTCACGTATGCATAAGGTCTTACAGCAGTGGCATACTCCCACGAATTCCCTTGGTCTCTCCCCGCCTGCCGGGTGCAGGGACTAGAGGCAGTGATTCGTGCGTGCACTGCCAGGAAGGGTACTGAGAGCAGCTGGGGGTCCTGCATGCTACGATGCCTCTGCCTCCAGGCAGCACTTCTGTGGGAGTACTGTAATAGTTAACAGTACAGCCTGCCAGGCCAGGGCTTGGACTGGTGGTCGGCCACGGAGGGTCTGGCTCCCTCAATAACTAGGTCTTGGAGCAGGCCCGAAGGTACTGTTTTTAGAACTTTCTTGTAAAATAAAGTCTTGAAGGAAGAAGGTGTAGATCAGTCTGGGACTGAAGCCACATTGGCCTGACCACGCACTGCACTGAAGCCTGGACCCCATGCTGCACTGAGACAGCGGGTGGCGGGTCACCCACCTGTTAATAAAGCAGACTGGGGGACCAGCAGGGGGCGTAATGGTATGTTGCTGGGCTCCCATGATGAACGTCGACTGCGGTTCAAGTCCTGGACCCAGTGGCTTAAATTCACTCCAGGCACATGTGCATGCGTGCCCAAGATCCCGAGAGGAGAATGGATTGCAGTGTGGCCATCCCCCTGGGGGGTGATTTCTTGCTTTCTGTCTCTCTGTCTGTCTGGCGAGCGCATGCACCCTATAGCAAAAACCTCTGAAAGAAAAAAAAAAAAAAGCAGCAGACTGGTGAGCCTGAATCTGCTGACGAACTCTGGGCTTACTTACTTAAGACTGGCCATCGCACACACGCTCTCCACTGACGGCCGAGTACCAGCACGGGCAGGGCAGGGCAGCTCAGCAGTGCGGTTTTACTTCCTGTGCCCGACTGCTAGTCCCAGCCAAACGGCGGGGCAGCTGATGCCAAATGCAATCGCCACCTTCTCCCAAGATGGCTCTTTCAGCGCCAAGGTTAATTCGACAGTGAAGCAAGCAGCTCTCTGTTAAGAGCCCCTCTGCTACAAGGGATTCATCTTAGTCTGTGCCTTTTACACGGAGCCGAGGTGAGGGTGGTTTCAAATGCTGAGTCGTTTCACAAACAGAACTGCCTCATCTGTGGTGTGGCCGCTACTGCCGCACAAGGGCTAAGGCTGCAGGGGAGCCCCAGCTGGGGCCGGCCCTGCCTGATCAGGAAGAGCAGGAGGGACTGTGAGGCAGTGAGTCCCTGCCCAATACCCCTCCCAGCACTCCCATTTCTCTCGCAGAGAGAACTCCAGTTCGCATCGTCTCATCCTGAACAGTCACTGAAGTCTGGTGCGGGTTGCTGAGGCACAGGTGTGGCTCACAGACAGGGCGGGTTTGTGCAAGAGACCTTCCTGACACCAGTCAGCACTACAGGGTCACTGCCGGCTTTTCTATCTGAGTGAATACAGATCACGTTAGAGGCCAGCAGGTGGCACGGAGGCTAAGGCAACTGGATCCCATATGGCCAATGCACAGTTTGAGTCCTGGACCCAGTGGTTTGAAAATCATGCCAGGCACGTACATTTGTGTGCCCCAAATCCAGAGAGAACGGAGGAGAGGGGATTGCGGTGTGGCCACTCCATCCCTGGCTCTGTCTGGGCACACACTACTAGCAGAACTTGAGGAGGAGAGACACCTGTCAGCTCATGGAGCTGCACGCTAGGGCACGGCTGCAGTGTCCCCTCCCTGTCAGAAGAGCCCCGGAGAGGCTCCCGATGGGGCACTCCAGGGAGGCTCGTGCCTGTGGACGGCTAGTGTGGGCAAGGCAGGCTCCGCGGGAGAGGCTGGCTCTGCTTTCTGGAGTTGGAGGAGGAGCCGGGGCAGAGGAGAGCGCCGGGAAGGTGCGGGGCAGTGTAGCTTGCTGGGTGAGGTGCCCCCACATGGGCTGGGTGTGGGTACATGTGACGACCCCACACTGCCACGGCCCGGTGGACGGCACTCCCACGGCCCGTGTCAGGTGCCTACCTGGAGCGTGTCCGTCTCCGGCTGGCCCCAGGGCTGCTGCTCATCCGGTAGGCGGTGGGGACGCTCCTTTCTTCCCGCCGTCGTTCCGGGGAGTGAGCTCTCCTCCGAGGGGACCGGGAGCGGGACCTGGGCAGATGAGATGAGGTTCAGCTCGGCTTCCGGGCAGCGTGTCTGAGCCCCCGGCCCAGGACCCGCCTCTGCGCCAGCCACCAGAGGCCCCAGTCCTGCCACAGCACTGGTGCCGAACACCGGGCTGAGG